AATTACTCATTTGAGTTTATCTATTCACTCATTTGCTTGTGGATATTGTTGGTCACGCATCGATTTTATTTGTTTCATTCAATGGAAATGACTTACGAGTATTTGTTCAAGAATATTACGGATTGAGGTGTTGTGCAGATGAAATGTTTGGATAGTTTATCATGTTTTCGTTCATAACAGTTTCATGAAATTTTTGATGTTTTCAGCCGAATATCTTCTTTCGACGTATTTCTCACCGAACTCCGCAAACGGAGATTCGACAACGCCGTCGACAATCACTCGAATGAGTGCCGTTGCATCGGCGTTATTGGCCGAAAAAGATGTCGGAAGCGGTCCGCTTAGCGAACTTAAGGTGAGATATTCATTGATACGTGATGACTTAGGTTTAACTATTGTTGACTTAGATTTACTTCATTCTCATTCATTTGACTGTTGTGAGTTTGTGGACGGTTTCATTTTCAAGAATTTGGATAAGATGAAATTAAGCCATATTTTGGGTTGTGAAATTATCAATACTGGAAATTTTGTTAAATGTTAGGTGGATTGTTGTTGGGATGTAATGAAAAGGTAATGAATATGTCAGAGTTCATAGAAACAATTGAGAGAACTAAAAAATTTCAGACAATAATGCTGGAGAATGATGTGAGTGCATTCGAGCTGAATTATAGCGGAGTGCTGACATCGTTGATTAATTATCTAACGAACACATCGCCATTATTGCAACCACCACGTAAACTTCGTTTGAAGCGTTTCGCTGCTGTTTTTATGTCACTTCATGTACGTTTGTCTTTTTCTCATTGTCGTTACTCATTTGTTATTTCTTTTTCTGATAAGAATTTTATTTATATTTATTTGATTGAGTAGTTATGAGTTGTGTTGAATTCATTCGTGGACATTATTGTTATCGCCAGTATTATTGATCCGTAATCGATCTGATCGGTTGATTTGCAGCCAGACAATTTACGTCCAGCTGATGAGTCAGGCAGTTGGACAGCATTCGAAACACTTGTAACGAAGTTACTAGCATCAGTTGCTCAACTTGAACAATTTCAGGTGATTTTGATTGTTTGATATCTTTCGTTAGTATTTCTTATTTTTATTGTCGTCATTTTCTTTCAACAATTGCTGTTATGTTATTGGATTGAAAATCTTTCAGGTGAAAGTTAGTGATATGGGTGGCATTTTAACGGGTAACTCCACTGGTGCATTACGAGGAGCACAAGCACTAAGATTCTTTCAAACTCATCAAATAAGGGTTCGTATTCATCCATTCGTTTATATATTCATCTTGTAATCGCCATTCAGACTAGATTTCATTTATTTTCAATGCACTTTCGTATGATTTTGCTTATTTTTCAAATCGTGAAATGAAAAGTTTTAACAACAGCAAAATTGTCTTCTTTGCATTTTGCCTGTCAAAAAGTTTCAATTCAACCGCTCGATATTCATCGCTGACCGCGTTAACTGATTTCATGATTTCAGTGTAATCTAAGGAGGCATCCCACATGTCGTGAATTGAAAGAATGGAGACACGGACATGGCTCTATCAAAGTATGATCATTTTTTACTCTCTTGATTTGATAGAGTGGAACTACCATCAGAGATTTTCATTCGATTAGTTAAATGTTGTATGAAATGAGAGATTCTTTGATTAGTACTCGTTTGATTCACTCAAACGCTTTCTAGGTGGATCCGTTCACGTCGATCTCAGCGATCGAGAGATATTTACTTGATCGAGGTGTTGGTTATGTGCGTGGCGAGGATTCGTCTGGAGACGAGGACGCGAGTGACGACGACGAAATGCCATCGGTTCGTTTTGATTCGCTGTTATTTAGTTGGTACACAGCTTGGGGGCAAACTGATTTCGAACTTGAAGCAAAGTTTTCACTGAATGAAGTTCGAATGACACAGAAACATTTCGTTCGTATCTGGTGGTGAATTCTTTGAAATTGTTGATTGTTGGTGTATTCAGGAGGGATCTTTCTCCGGTCAAACTGGGCCTCAGCGTCGGATTGATATTTTGATTAATGATGAAAGGATTCCTGGGCATATGTCGATATTACAGGTAAGATACAATGTCTATTTATTTATTCATTTATTTGATCAGCAGATCCAACTCATTACGAGCTTATTCCTCTCTGTTGTCACCAATATCAGTAATACATATTGTTCCTTCATTGGCAATCTTTTTTCCGCGTAGCTAGCGATAATAGCGTTGGGAATCGTCTGTCTTCATATGATACTTATGATATGATCGATAGATAGATACATAGATACATATGACGATGCGATACAACAAGTTATAATAAGAATAGCAATGCTCGTAGTAAGAAATATGGTTGTGAAAATTAAATCTTCATGATGTTTTTTTGGTTTTGCAGGCGATTCGTCAGTATTCACCTGCGATGATGAGTAGCGATGGTAGCGATCAATTAGCAATGGCCACAGGCCTATGGGTGAACACTCATACACTCTACTATCGAGCCGCATCGAACTCGCCACCTCCAGAATCCAATAACGATTCCCCTAGCACTCCAACAACTGCATCTTCGTCCAAATCGCCAGGCAACTCGAAAGCAGAACGAAAAGAGCGAAAGTATAAGATTGATGAGAAACTTTGGCTAGGTCAGTTTTATCGCTTCAGTCGGAATCAGTTTACTTGTTTGATTATTCATCCATTGATTTACCTTTTTTCATGCATCTACGTAATTGGTAATGCTGTCGACTTATTCCATGTAAAAAGAGTTTATTTATCATCAATTGTTATTACATGTGTTATTCTTTTCCTATTCTTCATTGTTTATGTTACACTGTTCATGGGACGGCTACAAAAATTCAGGCAGAAGTAAGAAGTTAGATGCAAGAGAAAAGTTTGAATTCAACAATTTTTCAGAACTGATTCAAATTTTCAAAAGTATCAAGTTTCAGATGGTGAAGTACCGACATATGATAGCCCATTGGATCCGTACTTGACTAGTCAACTTCCGGTTGAAATCGATGATCCGTCAGTGTGTTCGTTGGTTCTGTTGCGTTGTTTGTATGGACTGAATCGTTTTTGGTGGTCACTGTTCGACGACGAGGATGTGCCACCGACAAGTCACGCTCCGTTACTACCTCACACGTTTGTGATTTCCTTTTTGTTTTTTTTTTTTAAGTTTTTTTCATGATTTTTAATTTTGTTTTTGATGTTTTGTGTGTTTTTGTTTGGGAATGAAACGAATTAAATGTTTGTGATGAATGGATCGCTTGAATGATCGATTGATTGATAAGAGTGTCACCGAGATTAACAATGTTATCGCAGTCGATCATAATACATGTCATTCCATGTTTCAGATCATTTCATTCAGCCAAATTGAATGCCAAAATGTCCCGTCAACTGTCCGATTTCCTGTCGGTCGCCACTCAACAACTACCCAAATGGACTACGGATCTCGTTAGAGCAGCGTTAGCTTTATTATCTATTAAAAGATTTTTGTTTTTCAATTGTTTTTGTTACCGTTATCACTGTTTTTTATTTCTCATTGCTGTTGTAATCATCATGCATTGGTCGTTCCTTTCACTATTGTTTTTATTTATGTTATTATTGTTAACATTACCAGCTTTATCGCTGGATATCATAGTTCAGTCATTCATTTCCTTTAGAAGTTTTTATTTCGATGGCAGATGCGATATTGGTATTTGGATAGAGTAATGAATTGGTGAACATTTCAGGCCATTCATCTTCACGTTTACATCTCGCCGTAATCTGTTGTATTGTACGGCATTTGGTCGCGATCGTGCTCTCATGCATTTAGTGAATCAAACTGACGGCGGTCATGCCGATGGAGAGAGTGGACGGTTGACGCCCAGATTGGAGAGACGTAAAGTGTCGATTAAACGCGATGACTTGTTACGGCAAGCCGAACAAACCATGAATCATCTAGGAGGAAGCAGGTTGGCACTTGCAAACGCTTGTGGATTCATTTTTTTAATAGTGAAAGTTAGTAGGTCCGAAGGGTGTATCAGGAACAGAAAGGGAGACTGCAGTAGGTGGGGTGTGGAGCGATGAAACTAGTGATGATTGAATGGTTTAGTAAAGGGGAGGGTGATGGGGGAATATTTTACAATCAGATGGTAAATCCGGAATGTGAATTTCGGTAGAAGAAGGGGACGGGAATGATGAGGTGTTATAAGATGCAATCGGTCAATCAGTGATGCTGTCTTGCAGAGCAATGTTAGAAGTGGGTTTCGAAGGAGAAGCAGGCACAGGTTTTGGTCCAACGCTTGAATTCTATTCGACAGTCTCACGTGAAATCCAAAAGGCGTCACTGAAACTGTGGCACGGCAAAAGTATATCGGCCAATGTTGAAAATTCGGGTTTGTTTTGATCATTTTTCTCTTTTAGCATCGGAATGATATTTTTATTCAGCAGAATAGGAGAATTTGAGTATCATTTGTGAATTTTGCATTACCAGTTCATCAGTATTCGTTGACTTTTTAATGAGTGGAGTAGCAGGATAAGG